ATCACAACTTTTGTACATTTTGGCTAAATTATAATTCATAAAATTATTAAAATCAAAGGTAGAGTAATGGTAGTTTATCTTGAGATAAATAAATTTCACAATAGGACGGGCTGACAAAGATCATGTTACGACCTCTAAACCCTAAGTTTTTTTGTTCTCTCTGATATCTTTTTTTCTCATTTTTTTTCTGCTCCTCTAATTTGGGGCAAAATGAGTTAAATGAAAAATTATAAGTTATGTAGTGGAGATTGATATTTATAATAAAATAATATAAGGATATAAATGTAATTATTCTATTTGTTCAATTTTTATCACAAAATTCATAAAAATTCTTTTATATTCTTTAAATTCATATATCTAAAAATTATAGAAAAATATTCATGAATTAGCTAAGTATATTTAGAATGATACGGTGAAATCAATTTGTCAAACAAACACCTAATGATCCCAAAAGCTCCACTTGTACCGACAAATGTCAATTTTCTACACTGCTCCTAAAATTAGAAAAAAATTATTATAATTAAAGCACAATAATATTTATATTATGACGAAGATGGTTTGTAAATTTGGCTTTTAATGATTTCTAAAATATATTTTATTGGGTCAAAATATGGATTGTTACAAATACTTCGCTGGAGCTATCTTTCCTGCAAGAGGATAGAAATGCGATTCGGAAGACGAAGGAACTATGTGCAGTTTAGATGGGCACTAGCCCATATTGACCAAGGATGATCGATTCCTCGAGGTAAATGGTAAGTTGCAACCCAAAGTGGTGCGGATCTAGATAAAAGAATAATTTGGATATTCACTTTTTAAAGGAGCTCGAACCATGAAATTATTGCTAATGTCAATTCCTCTCTCACTTGTTCGATGTCATGCCACACAATCAGTGAAGGATAACAAAAATCAAAACTTAAGAATTCCTTATCACAACGATGAGTGAGATCACTTGGCATGTCACTCAAGCTGGAGATAAAGTGAATTAATTGATAATTATAGATAAATGAGACAAGGAACACAAACACGGTGAAAAAGTGACACTTAATTAGAATATATAACAGGGATCTAGGATGATGAAGCATCACACTATAAGGTCAAATTAGGAGTGATATATCATAAAATTCTACATTTTTGGAGTGACACCATCATCAGCGTGCATAGATGCTCATCCCTTTAAAAGTCGCAAGTGACTTGTTCCTAGCTATGAAAGTTAGCATATTAATGATGTCCACACACAAAAGAGATTAAAATCTTTGTAAAGGATAGGCACTTGCCATCTCCAACTAGATTTGGTCTTTTGAAGATCAAGGGATGCAGACATTCGGATACAATGCTACCTCCCTAGGAATCATCAAATGGAATTCATCTCGCATGCCCAACTAACCAAAAGCTAAGCAACTCCTCATAAATATATGCAAGTTTCATTTTTAACACTCAAGGAACTTGCCCTTTGCTGTAAGTCCATAGGAAAAAATGAAAGATAAGTTATAGAACTCGCCTAAATTAAAAGTTGAACACTCTTAACTTTGGCAAGTGTGGAAGCTTAATATTAAAAAAATTTAAGCCTATGTGGATACTCCATAATATTTAAAAGATGGACCAACCTAAGTACATGTATCATAGTTGACTCAAGGTCATTTTAGAGAGTTGCGAGATTACTCCCTGCAAATGTGCTAAGTTCCCCTTGATAGGCAACCTGTTGGCGAGCTGAAACTCCCAGGAAGATGGACAATCTATACTTAATGAGGTCGCTCCTAGGTTGACAACCTAGTCATCACTTTATGAGCAAAAGGATCCACAAATTGAGAAAGTAATAAAAACTCCCTTATTGATGATGTTCATGCTCTTATTTTTCTGCAACCCTCACTTTTACTTGTCGGTGAGAATAATAATCAAGGTTGTGAAAACCGGACCGGAAGAATGAGAGGTTCATGGTTCGACTGGTTCGACCAGTCGAACCGGGGTCAAACCGGATGACGTAATAAATAATAATATAATTAAAAGTAATAAAATTAACATAATAATGACAATTTATTCATAAAAAATTTATAAATCTAAGAATTTTTAGACTAAAAAATAAATAAAATTCATACATATATAATATATTACATAATTTTAAAATTCCACATCACTTAGGAATTCTAAGTTGTCTTGTTTATATACCTTTCCTTGTACTCATGCTTTAAGAGCTTTCATGGTATTATGGCATTATGCGAGCTTGGTTATTTATATTTAATTTACTATTTAATATAATAAAAATTTTGATTCATATTATTAAATAAGATATATGATATTTAAATTAATTTAATATTAATTAAACATTTTATATAAAAATAAAATATTTAAATATGTTATTAGTTGAACCGGCCGGTTTTTAAAAAACGGACCAGTTCAACGGTCGGCCGGTTCAACCGGCGGTTCAAGCCGGTTTTGGCCGGTTCGTTGTTAGCCCAGTTCTTAGATAGGACCGAACCGGCTCTAAGACCGGTTCACGGTCGAACCGGTCAAACCGGCCGGTCCGGTTTTCAAAACAATGATAATAATTGCTTTGTCTAATTCTCTTGTGGTTTTTATATGTTGCTCTTTAAAGATACAATAGAATTGGAGAACTAAATGTATATCGAATGTGTGGATTTGAGTATGTTACGGAGATTAGACACGCTTTCTTAGGAATTAAAGGAGATCAAGTGAACTTGTCCTAGAGGAGCCGACTAGATAGAGCACTCGCCCCGATCAAAAATGATTTGCCCGAAGCATACCTGCCCCGGCCAAGGTGGATCCATCTCATAGGCACTCACCTCAGACGAACTCGTCTTGAACAAAGGAGGGCATACACCCAATAAGCAAGAGATGATCATCCTAATAATAATAACAATCAACACCTGAGCTAGAGGCCTTAATTATTAGAGTAAGTAGCCGGAGGCAATCTTAGTGGTGTCCAAAGGCCTCATTAAAGATGGCTGCCCATATGTAAGCCACCATAGACCTGTCTATATGTCTTTAATTGTCAAATCATTTATTATTTTATTATTCCTTTGGTGTAGCCTCTCTTGTGGCCTTCCTAACCCTATAATACAGTGTTGAAAGGTATTGTTTAGAACTTCATGCTACTTATTATTCACAAAGAAATATGGTTTCAGAGCTTATTTTTGTCTTACTCGCCACCACTTACATTCTTAAAATAGCCTAGTTAGTCTTATGAGTAGGGTTATGATGTCCCTCACAAACAATTTTGATCCAACACTACTAAACATTTTACACATAATATTAATATAACCACATCATATTTGTAGACTAATCATTCATTAGCAAATTTTTGAAAAAGTGATGCTGAGAAGATTTAAAATTTCAATATAAATAATATTTAAAATAGTTAACTGCCTTTTTGAACTTTTGATTGTAAATCACATAGATGTTAATGAAAAGAAGGCGTATTTTTTTCCCGCAATTTTTAATTTTCATGTACATCTTGTGGAAGGTGGTATTTCTTTTTTTGTGTTTAGACCATGCATTACGGGTTTGTCTAAATACTGGGTAGTTTTACACTTGTCAAATTCTAATATTTTTTTTCTTTGAAAATACAAGCAAAATGTCTTCTTTCATCTCGCAAGAAGTCTTCGAGGAATTTAAACATAATTACCAAATTTGGAGGAAAAATAAGCCGGTAAATGCATTTGTAATTTAAGCATCATATCAATTGGATAAAACTTGTGTTACCCATGCAGAATAAAGCGTTCATGAGAAAATAGTTTGATATTTAAATCGTTTGTATAAGATTGAATTGAATTCAATTTAATGGTGATAAGTAGCATTGATGATTTGTGTTATTTTTGTAGGTAGTTTCAGTTGGGATCGTGAAGGCTGGTGATGCATATAATGTTATCCCAGAATCTGTTACCTTTGGAGGAACCTTTAGGAGCGTAACAACTGAAGGACTATATATTCTCCTATCACGTATACGAGAGGTTCTAAAATTCCTACTATATTCATGTTCATTTTAAAACCCTCATGAGTTATGCATACTTCTCACTATATTTTAATCAACGAGGGCGGGAGGGGGAGAGAGAGGGAGAAGGAGAGAGGTTGCTCGAGTGTAAAAGTGTACCTGTCATGCCTTAAGTTCCATATTCTTGATTTGTTTGCTGTAAGAATGAAAAAGAGAGTTTTGCTTGAAATTTAAAGCTCTATTTTAAACTTTAAGCATCTATTTTATTATGAAACTTATTCAGACAAACCAAAGCATAAAATCCAAGGTAAAATCTGTAAAAAAGAACCATGCTAAAAAATTAAAAGATTATTTTACACATACAGATAATAAAATTCTGTAATAGGACATTTTGGAGTTCAAATGCGTAATTCTCTTGGCTGAGTAGCATTGGGTGTGGCGGAGACTGGATGCCCAGAAAGAAATGGGACCCAGCTGCTTCATAGTGAAAGTTTGGTGCAAATTAAGTATGTGTGACTGGACAGCCATCTAGTTGTTTCTTATTACTAAAATGTCATCTACATAGATAATTAGATAAATGCTGGTGTTATTCCGGTTATAAATAAGAAGTGATAGATCCGTGAAGTTGAAAGAAAAAACTTCCTGTTGTCAGTGGGAGGATATTGTGGAGAATTGCTATTGAGGGGCTTGTTTGAGGCCGTAGAAGATAGCCTTCTTCAAGAGAAATACATGATTTGGAAATTATGGGTTGAGAAAGTCTGGTGGAGGGATCACGTGAACTGTTTCATTGAGTTTGCCATGATGAAATACAATGGAGTTGTCAAATGCTGAATGACCTAGTTGCGGTTAAGGGCTATGGTGAGTATATCAGGTTCATATTTTAGCAAAGGGGCTGAATGTTTCATTGTTGTCAAATTCAAGCTCTTGTGTCTTGAATGACAACTAAGCGAGCCTTACAGTGGAATACAAAATTATCAGAGTTGAGTTTATTTTTAGAGCTACAAATGAACTGAGCGTTCGATGTAGCTCGTTTATGATTGTTTGTTTAAGTAATCAAATATGTTTGAACAATTTAAAAAAAAAAACTATACTGTTAAATAAATAAGTTTGAACAACTATGTGTTCAACTCGTTTATTTTCATGAGTATCTATTAAAGTATGTAAACAAGCTCGTTATAAAGCTCATTAGGAAACTCAATTAATATTTAATATAGAGCTTGTGAATAAGCTTGTTAAGAATTGATTATATCTTGTTATAAATCTTTATTTGATATATTTTTACATAATTTTTAATTTTATTATACTAAATGATTCTTATTCTTATTTTATTAAAAATTAATTCATTTCTTATGTTATAAAATTTATTCATAAATAAGAGGTATTTGTTCATGTTTGTTGGATTGTTTGTGTAAAGTGTTCATGAACTAGCTTATTTATAAGAAAATTATTTTATCAGCTGATTTGTTTGTGAATGGGCTCGGTTGGTAGCTCGAAAACACTCGCTAGATTATAGCTTGATAATGCTCATTTGTTAAACTAATGAACATCTAGAAAGTAAAACTCATTAATAGCTCGATAAAACTCATTTGTTTAAAGCTCAATAAGCATGAAATAAATCAAACATTAAGCAAATACAAATCAAATATAAACTTCTATCATTTGAACAAATTAAACTTGAACATAAATAGGAAAGCTCCAATCGAGCTCATACTAAATTTGAACAAGTGCATAATAAATATGCTCAAACATGAGCAATGTTTATTTAAAATATAATTTCTATGAGAAGCACATTACTAGTGGTGTCAAGAGGCTGAATGATCACCTAGCTTTCACGCATGCCAATGTTGGACCGTGTGCAAATATACCCGATGAAGTGAAAAAAGAATACAAGGATTATTTAAATATGTTTGCCACCGTCAAAGAGGTAATATAAAGAAATATAGAGGAGATGATTAAAAATTCATCTTCTTATAGTTCTCAGCATGAAGGATCCAGTAGTGAGAGCTAATTAATTTCTTCTAATGGAGGTACTCGGGGGCTAATGGATAAATTTATGGTTAATGTTGATGACGAGGAGAATATAAACACTTACAATATTTCTCCTACTGCTTTGTTGACCTATGTACAAGGAGCAAAAAAAAGGAAGCTCAAAATCATACCTTATACCCATTGGATCCACAAATCCTGTCGAAATCGCGTTGATTTGGTGCAGTTCGCGTCGCTTCCCCGTGAATCTTGTACAAATCCCTCGCCTCGGTCAAGTGTCCAAGCAGGTCGTTAAATACCAAGCCAAACAGAGCATTCAGGTCTTCTTCCACACACGCGAAACCTCTGCAGACCTCCGACACCATCCTCCCTTATTTATCACTGTCTTCCGATCCAGAGCCAATCCCGACGCCAGGCTCCGCTTCTTCCTCCTCAAATCCTCCATTCCTCCATTCCTCCAATACCCACCGACTACACCAGCCAAATCCTCCGATCACCATACCTGTAGACGACGCCAAAGCCATAGGACCCCATATCTACCTCTTGATCGAACACCTAGCCTTCTATGATAGAGATCCCGTCGCCTCTACTTTGCCGATCTAGAAGATCTTCCCACTGAGCTTCTCACCCGAACTCCACCTTTCAATCCTTAATCCTTTCGGCAGAGAGAGAGAGAGAGAGAGAGAGAGAGAGAGAGAGAGAGAGAGAGAGAGATAGAGAGAGAGGAAGCCATCTCCTACCTCAACCGAGCAAATCCACGACGCCTCCCTTAGACCCGATCAGACCTGTCTTCCGATTTCCCTCTAGCCTCCATTTCCTTGCCAATTTAGCCCTAACCGAGCTCTAGGTATATGTTTTATTTTTATTTTATTTTCTTATAATTACTAATTGTTATTTATTTTATTATTATAATTATAATTAATTATCATTTATTATAATTAAATATCATTTATTGTAATTAATTATAATTAATTAATTGATTATAAAAAAAAGAGAATGCTTCTCTTGCCTCGATCCATGTGCCACAAGCCTCCACCCTGCCGTTACTCACAAAGTATAAAATTCTTAACTCAAAAATCCTGCTTTCATGGCTTGCGATGAGCCGGCAAACCCCTTATACGCTCACGTAACGTAGTAGGGAGGGAAACCGGCGCGGCGCTTGTGACGACCTAAAAAAAATCCTTCCTCGATGCCAGCGACGAGCCGACAAACCCTATAATCGCTAACGTAGCGTATTAAGGAGGAAAACCGGCGCGGCACTTGCGACAAGGTGGGTGATCCCCGGAGTGCTCATGTAGCAGGAGGGGGATAAAATAATAAGTACCTCCGAACGCTCATGTAGTGCAGAGGGGGGAAAGAAAATTGTATTTTTTTAAAAATGTGCTCGAAACCCTTAAACACTCGTATAGTGGACGAGGATTAAACACCTACCTGAAGCGCTCAAGTAGCGATGAGGGGAAGGTTGCCTCTTGGTTTTTCTCCTAAATAAGGGAGACGCTGGGAGGTTGCTGAAATTTGGACTGAAGCGCATAAGGACTTGAACAAAAAAGTGAACTTGGACTTGAGCTTGAACATTGACATTAAATGAACTAAATGAGAACTTGAATCAAAACTTGGACTCAAAAATTGAACTTGATTCATACATTATAAGGACTTGAATCAAACTCAACCAAGTAAAGTTTGATTTGAGCTTGGACATGAACTCGATTTGAACTCGGACTTGAACTCTACAAGACAATAGTGGACTTGAATTTACATTTTGATTTGAACTTTAAATGAGAGGAACAAGTACTTGGATTAATGTTAAACTACACAAGACTTGGATTTGTTTAGACCACATAGAACTTGATTTGAACTGAACTTGAAAGAACTCAGACTTAAGTTTGACTTGGACAACAGAGGACCTATTCTGAACTCAAATGAGCACTGAACAATTGGCATTAAGTTCAAGTTATACTTAAACTTAATTTAAAAGGCATCATAAGAAAAATGCAATCAAATGGCAAGTTATTATGATAATGAATTCAAAAAGTTATTTATGATTTGTAAGCTTTACTTGATAATCATGAGTACTCAATCAAGATCAAAATGAGAATTCATTCAAGAGTAATGTGCAAATATACAGATGAAAGATTTTTAACATGTTATTTAACTTCTTCACAACCGGTAATTAGTAAGGATTATGAAGAGTGTGATGATTTGCTTGCAAGTGATGATTGTGAAGGTGGTCACAAGAGATGGTGCGATTGCAAATGAAGATTAATAATGCAAGTATCACAAGTGCATACATTCAGCTCCATAAGAAACAAAGTCGGAGTCAATGATATTCTTCATGATAATCATTTAGGAAATATAAAGTAGTCCTTAATACATCTGCTTGCATGTACTGATAGAAGTTTGTAGTGTCATGGAGATATAGACAACAATTGTTGGAAGAATTAAAAGAGATACAAGCAAATACACTAGACCCTAATAAGCCATGGTGGCTAACATGTTGTGGTTCCATAAATGTTCTCACAGTCAACATGGAAGGATGACGTAGTGGCGGATGCAATTACATCAAGAACCAATAGTAGTGTGCAAGCAAATGTATCGGTCTCCTATGAAAATGGAAGGAGCAACGTGTAGCAAGCATACATATGTGCGACGTTGGTAGTCAACATATATAACAAATGTTACAACACATTTACAGTCAATAATCAAACAATGGCTGCAAAATACATTAATTCGTTACAAGCAAAGATGGAATATATGTAGCAAATGTAGGCCCATATGATTTGTCATAGAAGATCCGTTGTATGCCCGATGTGGTGTTCACAAGAAAAATGCTAAAAGATTACAACAAATACAACACCCCCATTGTCACGACCCAACCCGACCGGGACGGATCCCGCTCGCATCGGGCCGCGACGGGACTTAAAAAAAATCCAGGATCTAGCTTTGGAATTTGCTTCAGACTTTCTTCCAAATATTAAATAGACATAAAAACACAGAGCTATTATAAACATCCAAATACAGAACAGTTCATCTATCTTTTCCTTCATCAAAACAATCATATACAATACAATTCATGGCTTCAGACAGAAATAACAGAACATAACAGAAAAGTCATGATTGTACCAAAAATTAAAAGTACAAAAGAC